GTAATCACATGACTCCGAGCGCAGCGTGGGCACCAGAGACAGAAGGCTCAATCTCGTTTGAGGCACTACACGTTTAGCGGATGAGCAAGGTTAATGAACTGACACCTATCAGGAGGGCAAGACGACAGGTTATTTCGCGAACCTTTCCATGCCTCTAGCTCTAGTCACCAGTTCGTTACCCAGCGGGAGTGTTAGTGTAGCATCATTATCGGCTAGGTCGCAGTTGGTAGCCAGGAATGGGGAAGCGGACGGCGACCTTAACTCTAATCCTGACCTCAACCCTAACCCTCACCTCAACCTTAAACGTTAACCGTTAACCCTAACGGCAACCTTAACTCTAACCCTAACCGAAATCGTAAACGCAACGGTAGCCCTTAGACATAGCCGTAACTGAGAAACCTAACCGTAATACTGAAACCTATTCGTACGCTCAAACCATAGCCGTAACCCAAAGACCTAAGTCTAAAGTCATAAAACTAACCCGAAAATCGGAAACCATTAACCGGCACCCTAATCCTAACCTCAAACGTAAAACGGAAGCCAGATGGGGTCAGACGTGATTATGGAGCCCCACAAAATAGCCCCAGTAAACAAAACCACCCAGCCACCTGTAATACGGGGCCTGGCTACCAACTGCGATCTAGCCTCATTATCTTCGCCTCGTCGATGGTGACGTTCTGCATGACGGTAAGGGACCTTTGAACGTTTAAGAATTGCTGTGCTGTCCTAGCTATGAGTTTGTGTAATCACTTCGTCCTCGTCCATCATGGGTCGGCGGTCGAGGACTCACTGTGGTGTCCTTATGTGATCTTTGAGTACAAGTGGATTGATAGAATGTCCTGCTGTCGTCATGTAGCGGCGAAGCTCCAGCAACTTCTTGGAAAGTCGGGGGTCGTAATCAATCTGTCGTCCACAACACTGGCAGCAGCTAGGAGAAGACCCACTAGAAAGTGAAGTCCACCTAGTAGGAGATTCATTCATAAGTCAGATGGGTTCATTAAAGCAAGACTATCCGAACTCCAAAAATTAGAGTGAACCAAATTTTGAGGATTATCTGATCGACACGACCCACCAGAGTCGGTAGTCTATCACGTCAACATCTTCTGTCCTCTGCGAATCGCCTGTGGTTATTGTCTAGGGTCTCCCTACAAAGTGCTTAAATGGCCCACTAAGAGGAGGGCAGAAGTGGACTCTGTTTGCATGGCTGCTGCAACAAATACGTCATTCGCGAACGTCAAAAATGTGTGAAATACGGATGCAATGGGTCCGGGACGGACGAAAGCCACTTAAAGTATGCCGTTTGCGCAGATGATAATAGTCGGAGGGCTCGCGCAAGTTCGGCTTGACGGCACCCATTCACTGAATGCCACCACAAACAACGAGCCTTGTAGAAATGGGGTTCTTCCTTACTGCATATTCCATTCCGACTTCACCAGGACGCGCGTGTGAACATAATTTTCCTATTGGCCGATGATGGGACAATCTTTTTCTCCCTGTCCCATGCTATTTTTTGTTGGTCTGACCTAAGCTTCTGCGTAGAATAAGGTGGAAAATTTATAGTTCGACCGTTACATCCGACGATGTCCACTGTGTGCTCCACAACAAGGTTAAGCAGGCACAGTGACTTGCGCATGAAGTAGTTTACGGTGAGAGCAGACTTGCGCGGCATCTACCGCACTCTTTCCTCCTCCCCAACCTGAGCCCGGTGTCAAGGCAGAGTCAAGAAGACCGGAGGAGGGAGAGGACAGATGGAGCGTCCGAATCCGCACCCCCTGGTCCACAACAAACACTTGACCAGGATTGACCAGTTGTCGTTGGTCAAAATCCTGGTTGACAAAACCCTGTGGCTGACAAAGCAGTTGTCTAACAATGTTCTTGATGACAAAGGTGACTCCAGCGTCCAATTATTCCGCCTTTGGACGTCTGCCCCAAATGAATGTGTATACCGCACCCATCTCTTAAGTTTGTCCTTATTCGGAAGGGGGGCACACCAGAACCTACGATGTCCACTTTGAAGCGTGCCAGTTCAAGGACGACCAGAGTTGACCTCCTTTCCGGTTGGTCTGCCATTGAATTACCTGAAAGGAAACAAACATTTCAAGCTGCCTGAGTGAGCAGTGTCACAGGGAGCCTGCGGGGAGACACGCGCACATGTTTTTTGTTTTATATATTATATAAACTGAATATTTTGTGCCCACGAGCCACGCTCAACTTGTCAGCCGAGTGTTTACCAGCATTCTTTAGGGCACATTTTATGACCCACTTTCTCGCAAGGAAATAAATAGTGCCACTTCTTCCCATTTTGTCTGTTTACCGCCCTTGAGTGACCTTGTAGCACACATTTTTCGTGCAGATTTCAGTGACTTCTTAGCTTGCTTGGCCTTTGCAGCCCGTCGCAGGCTTTATCCTTCAACTGGCTATTTCTTTACATGACCTTACCTCGATCGTATGGCTTCGGCCCAACGTCGCAGACGTTACTCCTTACCCCATCACTATTTCTCAAGACCTTAGTTCAGAGGGTTGAGAAGCGATCGTATCGCTTCGGTCCTCACTCTGAATCAAGTGCTGTCAACATCGGTCGCACGTGATGCTTTTCTTATTTGTTCCCTGAAAGGAAAACTGACCGGATTCCACCTTGTTCTTTATTACAATGCACACAACCGATACTTCTCACTACCTTAGGGTAGACAGGCGACAAAATGATCGTCCTGTTGCGGTCCCATTGCCAAGACAATTAGCTTGGGAGACCGGACGTATTGGGAGGCGAGACAAAATCCCCATTGCACCGGAAGTTGTTTGCGACGCTGACAGTGTCTGCGCAGGTACTTTGATTGCATCTGGTCGCCGAGGCAGATAGATCACGTGCATAATTCATTTCCAACTAATGCTAAGTTTCTGTCAAAAACAATTAGCTGATATGCATTTCGAATCTGGAGCAGTTTTACTGCAATTTGTTAAGGTTGCGAGTGATCGCAGGGCGTATGTTCCATAAGTTCGGACAGCCCAAAGGCAAGTAGCTCTCGTGCCACCAGCCACTCAGGCAGAAAAGGAAAATGACCTACAAAATTTTCCACGTCTACTGTGCAGGTTTTCCGTTATACTGGGCATTTCAGAGGTGATGCTGCACCTCATCAGTATGTGCCCAGACGGCTCGACCTGACGACAGGCCTCCTTCGTGGAGCTTCCTTTTTAGTCGACTTCAATAACCCTCGATTGCATTTGTATGTTTGTCAGTTGTAGGATCCTTAAGGTTTCTGGAGTGGTTGACTGTGAAATGAAGATATCCTTCTGATGACAGGCGACTGTATGTCATCCAATCATTTGTAACAGTAGTGCTGCCTTTTGCCACCCACTTCTTTATGGCAGATATCAGGGCTGGCCAGCTTCTCTCGTTGACCCGCTTGAACAATGCCTCCCACCGGCTGGTATCATACATGCCTACCAGCCACCATTGCCATTTGCATATACCGACGTAGTACTTGCGCCAGCTGATAAGCGTTTCAGCAAGTTGCACTTCTATACCCCGTTCGCCAATCTGTTTTGCCTTCTTCATGAGGGCTGCGGTGCATAAATTTAGACATAGTAGATACAAGTGAACTGTTGTTGTGTGAGATACGTCAGTGTCTTCATCACAACCCTTCACCCTAGTTCCCTTTAAAAAGATAACCACATCTCCATGACTGTGTCGATTATCCGTCGGATCTTTTCAAATATCGGCCACTTCTAAGGGATTTTCTCCTTCGGTACCGAACACATCTGAAGACATATAGGTCTGCGTGGCGCCTCCGGACTTGTCTCATTGGCTGTCCGCATTTGCAGGTTACCGCAATTGGCAGTAGTTTCCTTGTTTGACAATACTTCATCACCTTCTCTGAGTTCATCGCTTCAGTCATTTCTTCGGTTTTCGTCCGAAGAGGTGGCTGCTTTAGTCCATTTTTGACAACTGCATCTGATGGTCTGTAATTTTGGGAAAAATCGCTAATGAGAAACCCACTCCACCATTACACAAGCTCTTCATACTAAGTAATCCCTATTCAGCTACTTAAAAATTTTAAAACCTAAGCAGTCGTCCACAACTATCCCGCATCAAAAATAACGGGTTCGCTTATTACTTAATTTTTTTAGTTCCACCATGTATGCCATGTTGGTCTAATTTACTTGGCTTCGCGTTCACGGTCATCACAAAACCACGAACTAAATTTCAGTTCATTTGGCAACCTCGCAGCTTTTTAATCGTTCTGATTAGTTGAGATTTCCTTGACCTCCTGACCCACTGATCCGGAGGCTGGTCACAGATGTTTGGGGTCCTTCACCCTACCGTTGCCCCGCCCTAGTAAAATGCATGCTGTCTGGTATATCCTGGTACATGACGTGATGATCAGGTCGTGTATGGCACACGTAGACGCGCCGTCGTCACTCTGACGGCCATTGCGTCCAATCCAATCACCAGCCGATTGAAAGGTCC